TATAAATAATATAAGCAGTCAATTAAGTTGTGTTTCAGCAAGGTGGCATTAACTATTCATCCCTTTTTTTTTAATTTTCATAAATTTTACAATTTTACAGGGTGTTCCTGACAAGGAACTAATCTCTAAAGCCAACATTAACAGGCTTTTTGTTGCAAAAAAAAAAAGTGTAGGTCAGCAATTCCAGTATTATAACACATGATACACTGAGACCTCGTGACTTTATTTATTTAAATTTTCTTGGCCACTTTTTCATTCAGGCAAGCTTCTTTACCTCTTTCAAAACTTAAGCCTGCAAATACAGGTAATTCCGTAAAGTGTTAAAGTAAACAAATACATACATACATCAGGGGTGGGTTCCTGCCAGTTCTAACCTCTTCTATAGAAGAGGCTCCACAAATCTACAGTGCCGTTTAGAACCGGTTCCAGCTCCCCCCCACCCCCGCCTGTCCGCACATCATCAAGATGAAGAGCGAGAGGAGGAATTCTGGGAGTTGAAGTCCACAAGTCTTAAAGCTGTCAAGTTTGAACACCCCTGGGTTTTTTTTTTCCTAAAGGGTTAGGAGTGCAAGGGTCTTTAACTTGACAGCTTTAAGACTTGTGGACTTCAACTCCCAGAATTCCTCCTCTCGCTCTTCATCTTGATGATGTGCGGACAGGCGGGGGGGGGGGAGCTGGAACCGGTTCTAAACGGCACTGTAGATTTGTGGAACCTCTTCTATAGAAGAGGTTAGAACTGGCAGGAACCCACCCCTGTTCCCGATGCATTTAAGTAGTCTGAAAACAACTAACCACATGGAATGAAAGACATTGGGAAGATAAAAGCCTTGCTGCCTCTTTTATGTCTGCATAAATCCCTATGTGCAAAGCATTTTTATAATATTGTCAGTTAAGGAGGAAATTGGCATGTCTAACTTACTTTTCCCTTTAAAAATATGGGGAGTAAATAAAGTTCAATGTGGTATGAGCTTTGTTCCCAAGGCATTTTATTGGGTGGGATGCAATCACTATTTTTACTTGTGTGACTTGGATAGTTGTCATAGCAAGAAGTCTGTTTCTGGAATTTGTACTTGCAATCAAACGGATAGCATGGGGATTTTTCCAACATTGAATAACTTTATACCCCAGACCCCACTTCTATTTCTACTTAAATTTGCTTCTAAGCAGTACCAAAAAACTGATTTTCTATAAACACACAACTGTGATTTCATAGGAATTGACTGAAGGAATATTACATCTCTTGTTCTGCAGAGGCTCTGCTGAAAAATATGTTATGGGTTTGTCATCTCCTTGGGCTTGCTTGCTATGTGACCCTGCAGATCCTGCAGATAGAGGCTGGAATGCCTAATGTGTAAAGAATTGCTTTTTGTGGATGGGAGATGACTAATGCATATTTATAACATTCTTGTAATAGCCACGGTGTGTCAATCTGCCAAAGCCTCCAGTGCCCCCACAGGTGGAAGAAGAGTATTACACCATTGCTGATTTCCAGACCATCATCCCTGATGGGATCAGCTTCCAGGCAGGACTGAAAGTAGAGGTGAGACAAAGTCTTGTCAGGCCATCTCCATAATCCTTGGCTTCTTCCACAGAGCTTTCTTTAAAACTTGCTCTATCTCCTTGATGGCAAACCTACGGCATTTGTGCTGAAAGTGGCACGCAGAGCCATCCCTCTGGATGCGCCAGCCATCACCCATTGCTCTTCCGGATTCCAGCACATAAATGCGTGCTGGCCAGCTGGTCTGCAGGAGTGCCCCAAACTGGAAAAGCAGCTGCCTGGTGTTCATGCACATTGGCCAGGTGGTCACATGCGCATGTATGCCAGAAACTGGAAGACCAGGTGACATATGTGCCGGGGAATTGCTCTTCCGGTTTCTGGCACTCCCATGCTTGTACACCAGGGAGCTGCTCTTCCGGTTTCCAGTGTTCCCATGCATGCACATTGGGGAGCTGCTCTTTCGGTTTCCGATATTCCTCCACCCGTGTGTGCTCTCATTTTGGCACTCGGTGCCCAAAGGTTCACCAACATTGATCTATACCTTTTATAATGGTATAGTATTGTCAGCTAACCCAGTTCTAATAAGCTATGTGTTGTGATTTTAATCATAGTTTTCTAAAGAAGTTTTTCTTCATTGCAAGTGTTCCCATCTCATCTACTTGAGTCAGAAATATATTCTAGGAATCAAGATGCTGCTTCTCTCCACTTAAATTTGATAAGAATAGAAGATGTTTGAAAAAATCAAACGGGAAAAGTTTGATCCAACAGAAGATACTACTAAGATTCTACTTAGATCCATGTCCTTATGGGACTTCATAAATACAAGAATGATGGTTATCCTCCTTGACTTCAACCAGTAGCTCTGGAGAACGACTCATTACAAGAAACTCAAATTTTCTGTGCTCCCATTAAACGTATTTTTAACTTGAGGAAATGGAGATCTTATCTTTATCTGCCCTCCATGCGCTACTAAATTATAGGACAATGTCCTCCAATCAATATATTCCTGGTTTTAAAATTCAGAAGTGTATTTCCTATTGTCTGGTATCCAGGCTATGCACATTTGTAGATGGCTCAATACTGACATCTAGTGACTATTTATTTTCTTGTTATATCAGAGTTTCTTGTACCATTTATAGAAGTCATCTGGGATCACTTGTTTGTATGCCCTGCCCGTGCTTAGATAGGTAAATCATTCAGGAAAACCATTTATTTCATGATCAATAGCATGAATCATCTGGAAATGCTTGATTCTCTTCTTGGGCTTTCATAAGAACTTTGGTCATGCCCTATATTGTACAAAAGCTAAGTATGTTCCTCTGAACCTTCAGATGCCCAGATGGATTCAGTGGCAATCATTCTATCAAGCATAATTTAAAAGTGAACACAAGTCTTTTTGTAACCAACTGATACACTTTCTATAGCATGTAAAGAAGGCTGCTGTATTTGTTTTAAATTAAAAAAAAAAATTAAAAAGTGAACACAAGAAAGAAACAAATTTTATCAGCTACTTAGTAATAATTTTAGATGACAAATGCTAACAATCATGTCTTTGTTAAATATTATTTAAGCTGTAGAAAACAAAATGGCACCAAATTGAGAATCTAATCTTTTATTATCTTAGGTCAATGTTGTAGAGTTAGAATCAATTAAATAGAAAACAATCTATTTATGATGTGAATTTTTGGCTGTTGTTCAGTTGCGAAGTTGCTAAGACTCTTCACAATCGCATGGACCATAGTACACCAGACCAAACTCTTGCCCACTGCTTCAATGACACCATATAACCGTTTCATCCTCTGCCATCCCTTTCTCCTTTTCCCTTCAATATTTCCAACATCAGGGTCTTTTCCAATGAGTCCTCTCTTCTTGTTTGATGGCCAAAGTATTCAAGCTTCAACTTCAGTATCTGTCCTTCCAAAGGACAGTCAATGTTGATTTCCTTTAGGATCGACTGATCTGATCATACTATATATTCAGTTTCAGCCCACAGACTCATCACTGTAAACTATCAATAGTAGTTTTTCGGTGATGCATCTGTAGGCTAAAAATAGATGGCTACTTGTCTGTTATGTGAAATATGAGGGTGAAAAAAAAAAGACCAGTCAAAATCTTAATGCTAAACCTAATCTCAAAAGTTTTAGGCAATGTAGTTGTTATAAAGTTCTAAAGAATGCTGGCTTTATTTCCTTCTCCAGGTAATTGAGAAGAACCTAAGTGGTTGGTGGTATATTCAAATTGAGGAGAAGGAAGGCTGGGCACCAGCTACTTTCATTGACAAATACAAGAAAACTAGCAATGCGTCTAGACCTAATTTCTTGGCCCCGTTACCAAATGAGATGGCACAGCTACGGCTTGGTGACAGCACAGCAGAGAACAGCTCTAATGGAGATCCTGCTGGGCCATCTCGACCTCTGCCTGAAGCACCACCTAATGGTATTGAATATGGAATCAAATGGAAAGGAAAGGAGATGTCCCAAGATGCTTTGCCTGAGAACAGTGATGCTTCTTTGTGTGTTGGATATGAAGAAATAGGTGATCGGGATATGGAAGAGAAACCAAGTCTCCCTCCAAGAAAGGAATCCATAATTAAATCAGAAGAAGAATTAATGGAAAGGCAAAGGTTGGAGCAGCGGCCACCTCCAAAACCTCCTGGCATGATTTTACCTGTGGTTCCCCCAAAACAGATTGTGCCTCCAAGGGACAAGAAGCCAGAGCTCAAAACAGAGAAGGGAAAATTGTTCCAGTTGAAAAATGAAATGGGTCTTGAGTGCGGACATAAGATTTCTCCAAAAGAAATAAAGAAGCCTAACCTCCGGCCCACGGTCAAGCCAATGAAACCAAAGATGGAGCCCCCCGAGGATAAGCCTGAAGCAGCTACCCCAAACTTTTTTCTGAAATCAAAACCTCAGATCAAACCGAAGCCAGCACCTGCTCCTAGGACAGATCCTCCTCAGTCAGAGAACAAATTAGACCTTTGCAACCTGAGGAGCAAACTCAAGCCTGCAAAGGCTCAAGAGAAGCTGTCAGAGCAGGATCCTGTGATTAATGAGAGTGCCTTCAGTAACAGTGGACTTCCAGTAGAATCTTCTGCCAAATCTCAGNGATTTGTGGAACCTCTTCTATAGAAGAGGTTAGAACTGGCAGGAACCCACCCCTGTTCCCGATGCATTTAAGTAGTCTGAAAACAACTAACCACATGGAATGAAAGACATTGGGAAGATAAAAGCCTTGCTGCCTCTTTTATGTCTGCATAAATCCCTATGTGCAAAGCATTTTTATAATATTGTCAGTTAAGGAGGAAATTGGCATGTCTAACTTACTTTTCCCTTTAAAAATATGGGGAGTAAATAAAGTTCAATGTGGTATGAGCTTTGTTCCCAAGGCATTTTATTGGGTGGGATGCAATCACTATTTTTACTTGTGTGACTTGGATAGTTGTCATAGCAAGAAGTCTGTTTCTGGAATTTGTACTTGCAATCAAACGGATAGCATGGGGATTTTTCCAACATTGAATAACTTTATACCCCAGACCCCACTTCTATTTCTACTTAAATTTGCTTCTAAGCAGTACCAAAAAACTGATTTTCTATAAACACACAACTGTGATTTCATAGGAATTGACTGAAGGAATATTACATCTCTTGTTCTGCAGAGGCTCTGCTGAAAAATATGTTATGGGTTTGTCATCTCCTTGGGCTTGCTTGCTATGTGACCCTGCAGATCCTGCAGATAGAGGCTGGAATGCCTAATGTGTAAAGAATTGCTTTTTGTGGATGGGAGATGACTAATGCATATTTATAACATTCTTGTAATAGCCACGGTGTGTCAATCTGCCAAAGCCTCCAGTGCCCCCACAGGTGGAAGAAGAGTATTACACCATTGCTGATTTCCAGACCATCATCCCTGATGGGATCAGCTTCCAGGCAGGACTGAAAGTAGAGGTGAGACAAAGTCTTGTCAGGCCATCTCCATAATCCTTGGCTTCTTCCACAGAGCTTTCTTTAAAACTTGCTCTATCTCCTTGATGGCAAACCTACGGCATTTGTGCTGAAAGTGGCACGCAGAGCCATCCCTCTGGATGCGCCAGCCATCACCCATTGCTCTTCCGGATTCCAGCACATAAATGCGTGCTGGCCAGCTGGTCTGCAGGAGTGCCCCAAACTGGAAAAGCAGCTGCCTGGTGTTCATGCACATTGGCCAGGTGGTCACATGCGCATGTATGCCAGAAACTGGAAGACCAGGTGACATATGTGCCGGGGAATTGCTCTTCCGGTTTCTGGCACTCCCATGCTTGTACACCAGGGAGCTGCTCTTCCGGTTTCCAGTGTTCCCATGCATGCACATTGGGGAGCTGCTCTTTCGGTTTCCGATATTCCTCCACCCGTGTGTGCTCTCATTTTGGCACTCGGTGCCCAAAGGTTCACCAACATTGATCTATACCTTTTATAATGGTATAGTATTGTCAGCTAACCCAGTTCTAATAAGCTATGTGTTGTGATTTTAATCATAGTTTTCTAAAGAAGTTTTTCTTCATTGCAAGTGTTCCCATCTCATCTACTTGAGTCAGAAATATATTCTAGGAATCAAGATGCTGCTTCTCTCCACTTAAATTTGATAAGAATAGAAGATGTTTGAAAAAATCAAACGGGAAAAGTTTGATCCAACAGAAGATACTACTAAGATTCTACTTAGATCCATGTCCTTATGGGACTTCATAAATACAAGAATGATGGTTATCCTCCTTGACTTCAACCAGTAGCTCTGGAGAACGACTCATTACAAGAAACTCAAATTTTCTGTGCTCCCATTAAACGTATTTTTAACTTGAGGAAATGGAGATCTTATCTTTATCTGCCCTCCATGCGCTACTAAATTATAGGACAATGTCCTCCAATCAATATATTCCTGGTTTTAAAATTCAGAAGTGTATTTCCTATTGTCTGGTATCCAGGCTATGCACATTTGTAGATGGCTCAATACTGACATCTAGTGACTATTTATTTTCTTGTTATATCAGAGTTTCTTGTACCATTTATAGAAGTCATCTGGGATCACTTGTTTGTATGCCCTGCCCGTGCTTAGATAGGTAAATCATTCAGGAAAACCATTTATTTCATGATCAATAGCATGAATCATCTGGAAATGCTTGATTCTCTTCTTGGGCTTTCATAAGAACTTTGGTCATGCCCTATATTGTACAAAAGCTAAGTATGTTCCTCTGAACCTTCAGATGCCCAGATGGATTCAGTGGCAATCATTCTATCAAGCATAATTTAAAAGTGAACACAAGTCTTTTTGTAACCAACTGATACACTTTCTATAGCATGTAAAGAAGGCTGCTGTATTTGTTTTAAATTAAAAAAAAAAATTAAAAAGTGAACACAAGAAAGAAACAAATTTTATCAGCTACTTAGTAATAATTTTAGATGACAAATGCTAACAATCATGTCTTTGTTAAATATTATTTAAGCTGTAGAAAACAAAATGGCACCAAATTGAGAATCTAATCTTTTATTATCTTAGGTCAATGTTGTAGAGTTAGAATCAATTAAATAGAAAACAATCTATTTATGATGTGAATTTTTGGCTGTTGTTCAGTTGCGAAGTTGCTAAGACTCTTCACAATCGCATGGACCATAGTACACCAGACCAAACTCTTGCCCACTGCTTCAATGACACCATATAACCGTTTCATCCTCTGCCATCCCTTTCTCCTTTTCCCTTCAATATTTCCAACATCAGGGTCTTTTCCAATGAGTCCTCTCTTCTTGTTTGATGGCCAAAGTATTCAAGCTTCAACTTCAGTATCTGTCCTTCCAAAGGACAGTCAATGTTGATTTCCTTTAGGATCGACTGATCTGATCATACTATATATTCAGTTTCAGCCCACAGACTCATCACTGTAAACTATCAATAGTAGTTTTTCGGTGATGCATCTGTAGGCTAAAAATAGATGGCTACTTGTCTGTTATGTGAAATATGAGGGTGAAAAAAAAAAGACCAGTCAAAATCTTAATGCTAAACCTAATCTCAAAAGTTTTAGGCAATGTAGTTGTTATAAAGTTCTAAAGAATGCTGGCTTTATTTCCTTCTCCAGGTAATTGAGAAGAACCTAAGTGGTTGGTGGTATATTCAAATTGAGGAGAAGGAAGGCTGGGCACCAGCTACTTTCATTGACAAATACAAGAAAACTAGCAATGCGTCTAGACCTAATTTCTTGGCCCCGTTACCAAATGAGATGGCACAGCTACGGCTTGGTGACAGCACAGCAGAGAACAGCTCTAATGGAGATCCTGCTGGGCCATCTCGACCTCTGCCTGAAGCACCACCTAATGGTATTGAATATGGAATCAAATGGAAAGGAAAGGAGATGTCCCAAGATGCTTTGCCTGAGAACAGTGATGCTTCTTTGTGTGTTGGATATGAAGAAATAGGTGATCGGGATATGGAAGAGAAACCAAGTCTCCCTCCAAGAAAGGAATCCATAATTAAATCAGAAGAAGAATTAATGGAAAGGCAAAGGTTGGAGCAGCGGCCACCTCCAAAACCTCCTGGCATGATTTTACCTGTGGTTCCCCCAAAACAGATTGTGCCTCCAAGGGACAAGAAGCCAGAGCTCAAAACAGAGAAGGGAAAATTGTTCCAGTTGAAAAATGAAATGGGTCTTGAGTGCGGACATAAGATTTCTCCAAAAGAAATAAAGAAGCCTAACCTCCGGCCCACGGTCAAGCCAATGAAACCAAAGATGGAGCCCCCCGAGGATAAGCCTGAAGCAGCTACCCCAAACTTTTTTCTGAAATCAAAACCTCAGATCAAACCGAAGCCAGCACCTGCTCCTAGGACAGATCCTCCTCAGTCAGAGAACAAATTAGACCTTTGCAACCTGAGGAGCAAACTCAAGCCTGCAAAGGCTCAAGAGAAGCTGTCAGAGCAGGATCCTGTGATTAATGAGAGTGCCTTCAGTAACAGTGGACTTCCAGTAGAATCTTCTGCCAAATCTCAGGAAAAGCCCAACATGGAGATTAGGCCTCCCTCTAGACCTGACAGCCAAATCTTTAAGGAAGCTCCTTTCCCCAAAGTTCCTGTGGGTTCATCAAAGCCAGGTGAAAATGAACCCAAGAGCAGCTTTCCAGTACCTAGGGAACCCCCGCAACGTCCAGTAGTACCTCCTAGAAGGCCTCCACCTCCTAAGAAATCAAGTGTGCCAGCACCCTCAGCTTCATTTGCCCCCCCTGCAGAACATAAAGTCCCACAGAAGGAAGTGCCTGAAGTTCGAGCTATCCCAGTGTCTGGTAGACCAATATTGGTTCCACCAAAAGCCAAAGCCTTCCTGCCGTGTCCTGGCCAAGAGGAAACCAAAACAAAAAGCAGCTCAGGCCAAAAGTCATTGCCCAAGCCTGTGGAGAAGGAAAGATTATCCATTCCAATTACCAGCCTGGATGTCTCCAAAGAAGCCCTCTACGTGGCTGTGGCAGATTTTGAAGGAGATGAAGAAACTAGCAGTTTTAAAGAAGGGACTGTTTTTGAAGTCCGCGAGAAGAATACCAGTGGCTGGTGGTTTTGCAAAGTCCTCACAGCAGGGCCGTGTTGGGAAGGCTGGATTCCTTCCAATTATCTCCGAAAAAAGCCATAGTCCTGTTGTTCCTTTTGCATTACAGCAGCTCAACCAGCCCCATTTTAGTACTGCAGTATTTAATTAGCTTATTTATAGTTCTTCATAAGGCCAACTCTATTAGAAGCAACAAAAAGCAAAGTATCTGGGATGCCAAACATTCCAATTTGGGTATGTCTCCAAAATGAATTGCAAGAGGAAACATGCCATTGTGTACTAGCATACCTAGGCTACTCTTCCTTCTGTAGGTAATTCATTTCTTGAACAATTTTCACAGAAAAAAAGGAAAGTGAGAAGAAAGAGAGCCACTTTTTCAGCATCATGTGCCATTTAATGTCTAAGAAGCTTCATGGCAAGGAGAATATATAAGTAATACGATTCCATAATAGGTACTTAGGTGCAAAGAGCTGTCCCAGTTGTCGTTGTTCATTATTTTAGTCTTCTGTCTCTGTATTTCCCTCTGATATGAACAATGCATCTGCCATAGCTCCCCTTTATATGACAGCCAGTGTTTTTATGTCAGCACCATGTTTGAAGATTTGCTAATGAAGTTCAATGTACTCTCTGCAATGCAGATCTCTGTCTCACTTGGATTTCTCAGTATCTTAATCTCGTTTCAGTAAATGTCGAGGGCATGGCGTACAGGTTATCCATGTCCATACGGTTGGTGCTGCATCTTTGAGACTTGCTCTGCCAAACTTTTATCTACATCTGCAAATAAGTCTTCTGACCCTTCTAGATTTTGGCCCATCTTGTCTAAATCTAGAAGATAACAGAATGGGAACCCTCCAGGTTCAAACTCAGCCTTTCTCAGAAAGTCTTTAACGTTAAAGTTGGACTAAAGGAAATTTACAAAGAATTTACCTCAGCCTGTGGTCTCTTCCTCATATATTTTACTGTGAGAGCTTTTTCAGAAAGCTTGTTTTCCTACTTTTGTGTTTCTTCAGAATGTGAACTAAATTGGCAACGTCTTTTGAAACATGCAACCAGGCTAAAAGAATGGCACACTCTTAAGAGCTATATGAATTGTTTGAATTATCTTAGGCAAAGTCCTGTTTAAATCCTGGGTCAACTAGTAACAGATTATGGCAATTGTAGTGACGTGAACTGGATCTAGAAATGCATGATGTCAAGAACCATTTAAATAAGACGTATTTCAATTTTGGAGCTACAGCCAAGAGGCAGAAGATTGATAAATATGAAGATTAACTGTGTGGAACTTGTTCTACTAAAATAAGCAGGGGGCTACTCATTTCTGTATACTTAAAGGGACAAGCATGATTAAAATAAATATGCTTGCCTTTTTTCTTTTTTATTTCATACATAGAAATATGTGAAATGAGAACATGCCAAAAAGTGATAGCTTCTCATTTACAGCGGTGACAATTTTTAAACAATTGATGATGCAGAGATTTTAACTACAACGTTTTCAGTAATTCTCAGTTACGGTGTGGTTTGAGGGTGTAGGTAGAATCTGGTATGCAGAAATTAACCATACAATTTGTGTTGAAAAGATTTTACAGGAAAGGGAAAAAAATACTAGTTTTAAAAAGACAATACAGCATTTGTGTTACAGGAATTTGCCTACCGTGTTTCCCTGAAAATACAACCTGTCCTGAAACTAAAGCCTTGCCACATTTTTCGTGTAGGCAAAAATATAAGCTCACCCCCGAAAATAAACCCCCTGGACAACCCCCCTCTGGCCAGGCAGAGCACCGCTTACCGACATAGCGGTATTTTGAAGGCGCCAAGCCGCAGGAGCCGGGAGGGAGAAAGGTGCTCACCTTGCTTGCCGCCTTTGGGATCCTGCTAGATTGGGGAGTGGCATTCTGCCTGGTCAGAGGGGGGTT